GAGCATGGTGCTGACAACCCCAAGTCAAGGGTTAAGATCCCCTTACCGGTCATCTTTAAAAGAAAAAAAAAAAGTTCTTCAGGTCATATTGTTAAGTGGAAAAAACTTAAGGATGCCAACATGCTTAACAATTTGTACAGTATGCTGCCATAAACACATATACATGCAACAAAATCATTTCCAGAGATATTTTGACGTTTTTAAAAGTATAGAAAATGTATGCGATATGTGATGAACTGATAACTGTGGTTAGTATGGAGTAGAATTGTAGGGTCGGAATTAAACTGTATAATGTTTGAGTATTTTACAACTAAAATGAGTGATTCCTGTCTTATGTAATTAAAAAGTTAAAAGAAATCAGCAGATTAGCCATTTAAAACTTATGGAATTTTAAAGCATCTCTGCCCAGAATATTTTAAAGAAACAAAAAAAGTGTGATTCAGACTTGAAAAGGATTAGAGTCTACAGTATTAAGTTGACGTCAGAAAAAAACCGAAGCTATTTTTAAAAGATGAAAAGGGGGCCGGCCCGTGGCTCACTCGGGAGAGTGTGGTGCTGATAACACCAAGGCCACAGGTTCGGATCCCATATAGGGATGGCCGGTTTGCTCACTGGCTGAGCGTGGTGCTGACAACACCAAGCGAAGGGTTAAGATCCCCTTACCGGTCATCTTTAAAAAAATAAATAAATAAATAAATATATATTTATTGAAATATATATATATATATTTTGAAATATATTGAAATATATATATATTTATTGAAATATATATATATATTTTGAATATATATTGAAATATATATATATATATATGAAAAGTACAAAAAAAAAAAAAAAAATCCCTGTGTTGGCCAGCAAAAAGAAAAAAGTAAAAATAAATAAATAAATAAAAGATGAAAAGTACAAAAAAAAAAATCCCTGTGTTGGCCAGCAAAAAGAAAAAAGAAAGAAAAAGTATTAAGAAAGCAAACAAAAACCTTTTCGAGTTTAGGAAATGACAGTTATGTTGAAAGCTGGTTGAATTGAATCCTCTTTAATGAGGAGGGAAGCGATGGGCTGGATCTACTTATGACCTTCTGAAAAACGCTCTACCTGCCACTAACTTCTTAAGTGGCTGTTCTCAAAGGAAATTGCAGGAGACTGAGGGTAAACGTCTGACATCCTGAAATGGGCTTTCTTAGAGCTGAGGCAGCTTCCAGAATTTCCAGCTCCAATTCATTTTACAGGCAAGAAACTGAGGTTCCTGGAGGCCCTGAGGGAACTTTTGGATCTGGCCTGTGCACAAAGATTGGCCTCTACCGGAAAATGCAAAACAGCAGTTAGGGTCTGACCTAGGAGGGCAGAAAGTCTCAGCCACACAAAGGGCGGGACCAAGATGGCGGAGGGGCGGGGCCTCCGGAAAGGGCGGGGCCAGGGGCGGAGGCGGGCTCGGGGGCGGGCCCAAGAAACGCGGCCAGGGGCGGGGCCGGGCGGCGCGCAGGTCCGGTCTGCGCGGCGGCGTGGCGCTGCGCGGCGAAGATGGCGGCCTCCAGCTGGGCGCGCACGGCTGTAGTCCTGCTTTTTGCCTCTGACCTCCTGCTGCTGGTTCTGCTGCCACCGCCTGGGGACTGCGCGACCGACGTCCCGGCCGGAAGGCCCGGAGAGGCTACCCCACCTCCCCAGAAGAAGAAGAAGGATATTCGCGACTACAATGATGCGGACATGGCGCGTCTTCTGGAACAGTGGGAGAAAGATGATGACATAGAAGAAGGAGATCTGCCAGAGCACAAGAGACCCCCAGCACCTGTCGACTTCTCACAGATAGACCCGGGCAAGCCTGAAAGCATATGGAAAATGACGAAAAAAGGGAAGACTCTCATGATGTTTGTCACTGTATCAGGAAACCCCACTGAGAAAGAGACAGAGGAAATCACCAGCCTGTGGCAGGGCAGTCTTTTCAATGCCAACTATGACGTCCAGAGGTTCATTGTGGGATCCGACCATGCTATCTTCATGCTTCGTGATGGGAGCTACGCCTGGGAGATTAAGGACT